TGTTATTTTGTGCTACTAAATTTTGGGGGATGGGTTATTACAGCAGCAAGAGGTAACTGAAACATTCCCCATCATAATGACCAAAGTGACTTAGAATATATTTCTAAAAACCTGAAACCATTAGAGAACATTTCACACTGAAGAATTAGGAGTACAGGCAGCACTAACACTCAGAGGTAGGGACAGGTTGGACAAACGCACATGACCACACTTGATTTCCTCTCTCTAGGTTACAAGAAGAAAGCTATGCTCCATCCACATCTTTGAGAGTGTTGCTGAAGCTAGTTTTCTAAAACCCATACAAGTACCCAACAATGCAAACAATGGAAATAAACTTGAACACTTAAAAGAGCAATGACATTAATATGCACAGCCATGGAACACTGACTTAATTTATCTGAGATTCAGGAGGAGAACAATGCGCTGCCAGAGCCATTTATCACATGACGTGTCTGAGTTTCTGGATGGAGGTTCAAAAGGACTGACTAAACCACCGTTCAAAGCCACATTGCTCCCAGTATGCTTTAAAGATCACACACACTTAGTCTGCATAGAGGGAAGGCTGAAAATTCCACTCTGGTTGGGATTTTGTATGTGACACCATTTTAAAAATCAAGGGTTTCTTTTTCTTTCTTCAATATTGAACATAAAAAAATTTATAAAATAGGGAAAGTATGAAGAATGACATAACAAATACCCACACACCTAACAACCAGTTCCAAAGAAAGACATTAGAAATATTCTGGAATCTCCCATGTACCCCTCCCTCACCCCTTCCCCCACTTCCCACTCAGAGGCCATCATTACTTTGCATTTTATATTTGCCATTTTCTTACCTTTTCTAATCATTTTTACCACATTTATATTCTTAAAAACATGCTGGTTTTACACATCTGGGAACTCAATATAAATGTCACTGTTGATATTCTTTTACAACTTCCTCTTGCTGCTCAACTCTATATTCCTGAGATCCACCCACTGGTTGTGGGCAGCGGCAGTCCATTCTTTTTCACTGCTGTAGCGTTTGGCTGAATTTTCAGAACTTATTTACAGTCTACCTGACTTACCACATTTCTCAGACCTGGTTCATACCCATTGTGGTTCAGCCATTAATTTTCACCTGGGGAGAAATTATCTTTCTTTTTGAATGTCTTAAAATCAAGAAATGTGGGCGCCTGGGTGGCTCAGTTGGTTAAGTGACTGCCTTCGGCTCAGGTCACGATCCTGGAGTCCCGGGATCGAGTCCCGCATCGGGCTCCCTGCTCAGCGGGGAGTCTGCTTCTCCCTCTGACCCTCCCCCCTCTCATGTGCTCTCTCTCATGCTCTCTCTCAAATAAATAAATAAAATCTTTAAAAAAAAATCAAGAAATGTTTGCTTCTCCTTAGACCTCTCAAATTGGTGATTCTGATTTAGAGGTACTGGAGCAAACTCCTGTCCCCAGGGCACTTTTCTTTTTTTTTTTAAGATTTAATTTATTTATTTGACAGAGAGATAGAGAGAGAACACAAGTAGGCAGAGCGGCAAGCAGAGGGAGAGGGAGAAGCAGGCTTCCTGCCGAGCAGAGAGCCCGATGCTCCATCCCAGGACCCTGGGACCATGACCTGAGCCGAAGGCAGACACTTAACTACTGAGCCACCCAGGCACACCCCCCCCCGCCCAGGGCCCTTCTTAAGGAGAATGATTCTGGTAGTTTTGACAATACACACGAAGTCCAGCTGTTAGAGTTTACTATTTTTCCTGCCTGCACGAGGGATGGCATGCATAGGGCTCTGAAAAGAAAGGTCATTCCATTAATTTTTCTTTGCTGAAGTAGCAGGAATATACTGTAGTACCGTAGAAGCCAGTATCACTCAACCTTCAAACATTTCCCAGGAGAAATACATGGTCCAGAAAAGAGAACATTTAAGGAACTGATTAGTAGGAGAAAAAAACCAACGAATGGCTCAGAAGGAAAGAGGAGGCAAAGGGCCTGCCCTTGGGCAGGAATGGTCCTAGCATTGCCCATACCCACCAGCCAATCCCCTCCCGCCCTCTAGGCTCTACTTTCCTTCTAGTTTTTGTCACATGGACACACACTAAGCACCTACTGTGCAACAATAAATCCAATCAGTCCCCACCCTCCCTGCAATCTAGCAGATGATACAGTGCAAGAAGCCACAGATCAACATGGCCTGCTTCCTCCCTCACTCCATACAGGGCTCTGTTCAAATGTCACCTCCCCAGAGAAGCCTTCCCTGACCACCATATCTACCTACTACTCCCCTCCACCACTCTCTGGCATCTGACCCAGTTTTATTTTTCTTCATAGAACTTCTCACCACCTGATGTTATATTTGTCATTCACTGTCAGGTAAGCTTCCCATGGGCTGAGAACACTGGGCAAAGAGGAGGCACTGAGCATGCCCATGAGGCTCTGTGAGCACAGAGAGGGGGGTGAATTCAGTTTTGGCTGGTTCTGTAGAGGATGACAGCTGAGCTGAGTTCTGAGGGATGAGCAGTTTAAGTTGGACAACTCTCTCTGCACTAGGCCTGCAACTGTCCTCATCTGCATTCCCATCTCTCTCTCCCCTCACTTCGGGTCTGTTCAAATGGAAACTGTTCTCACTCATTTGGGGATTCTCTGAAGCATACGGGACACAGGGACTTGCATTCATTCATTCCACAAATATTTATAAAGCACTTATGAGGTACCCATTACTCTTCTATATAGAGGGGAAATTTAAAAGATTTCTCTCAATTGAACTGCATTAAAAATTCCAGGATTTTGGGGCATCTGGGTAAGGCTTAGTCGGTTGAGCATCTGACTCTTGATTTCGGCTCAGGTCATGATCTCAGGGTTGTGAGACTGAACCCCACATTGGGCTCTGCACTCAGTGCACAGTCTGCTTGAGATTCTCTCTCCCTCCTGCTCTGCCCCCCTCCCCCGCTCGCTCTCTCTCTCTCTAAATAAAATCTTCAAAAAAAGGTCTGGGATTTTGTTTAAGTCTCTTTGGTCAGAATGAGCTTTTTATAAAATTTAGATGATGTGTCCTTTAAAATATAAAATAGCTCCATATATATATACAATGGAATATGATTCAGCCATAAAAAGAGAATAGAATCTTGCCATGTGCAACACATGGGTAGAACTTGAGGACGTTCATTGTGCTAAGTGAAATAAATCAGATGACAAGTACTTAAAGATCTCACTTACATATGGAATCTAAAAAATAAACAAAACCAAGCTCACAGATCCAGAGAACAGACTGGTGGTGGCCAGAAGGGGGGGGGGCGGGTAGAGGAATGGATGAAATGGGTGAAGGGGTTCAAATGGTACTAACATCTGGTTATAAAATAAGTAACCCATGGAATGTAATGTACAGCAGGGTGACTCCAGTTAATAATACAGTACTGTAGTGCATATTTGAAAGTTGCTAAGAGAATAAAGTTTAAAAACCCTCACAAGAAAAAAAAGAAAATGTTGCACCTATGTACGGTGATGGATGGTAACTAGACTTATTATGGTCATCATTTTGTAATGTATACAAATACTGAACCATTCATTCTGTCCACCTGAAACAAATACAATGTAATCTGTCAACTGTATCTCAATTTAAAAAATATAAAATAGTTCCTGAAACACACCATCAAGATTTTCAATGTCAAAGAAATAGCACAGAGCCCACTGTGAGTCTGCTTCCAAAAACCGAATTCTCATCTCTACAGAGGGCAACAACCCCCTTAGTTTACCTTAGTGAAATTTACAATGATGATGATGAAACTTGCCAGCTACTCTCCATGCAGGGACCATGAGTTAGTATCTATGAAAGAAAGGGGTGTAATCTGGAAAAACCCCAATATGAATAGGCTCTTCTGTTACTGTCCCACCCTAACACCAGAGTAGTAACGTGAATGGAAGGCTCAGAAATAAGACAAATAGAGACCTTACAGCCCACCTAATGGATTCAGATTTTGCAAGAGAGCAATACTATAACCAAAGACAGGCAATACAAGCACAGAAAGAATGCAATGGACTTAAAAACAAAACAAAAACTTGATGCTGTTAATTCAGCAATATGTTATGTAAGGATTTTCCTTATAGAAGACAGATATATCAGTAACAGGTATTAGTAATCTATAAAAACTGTATGTTCTCTGAACAACATAATAGAGAAAAAGTTTCTGTTAGAAAGCAACAAATTAGAAATAAGAGCTGATGTCACTGAAATATTTTTTTACTCTGAAATATTTTTAACAAAGGCCTAAGTGTTCGTTGAATCTGTGTTTTATCCTATGTTCTCTGAATCAAACTGATGCACTAAACAAGTCTTACATGATTCTCTACAGAGTTTTCTATTTTCCAAATTAAAATCATATTTCTCTTTCTCTCTCAGTACTACAGAAGACGATTCCACTCTGCTAGACTGCGTTATTTACTGAGTCATTCTTGTTATAAGCAAAATATTTTAATGACATACGAGAGTGGTCACACAGCGTGAATTTGCTTTTCAGTGACATGGTTTCATTGGCGAGTTCACCCAATGCTTCACAAAAAAAAAATAATGGCTTCATTTAAAAACAACAACATACTGCTGATGGTGACTGACAACTTATTATTTCCTCTCTGTTGAAGAGACAGATGAGGGAGGGAGAGAGTGAGTGCCCAAGTACTTGAGCTTGAGCACACAAGCACAATGCAATCACTTCACTCCAGATGCAGGTGAAGGAGAATGCCAGAAAAGCAGAATGGAACCGATGGACCAAAAGAGAAAATGTTGAATGGATCATCTCCGGAAATCAGAATCTCATACTTAGCAGGCAACAAACCTCTGAAGAGCCCACCATTTATGCAAAAGATACACAGAGAGTAAACGAGGTAACTCGAAGTCCAGGATTCCTCCTGCTCACCTCTTCAGGTTGGCCATGACTCATGTGGCAGCAGGAAGCACACACTGCAGTGTACAGAGCCCCACCAAATTGCTTTCACTGTCCAACTGTGGCAAAGCGAAAACATACTTACTTGGATGTCACTGGAGAAGAAGACCTCTTAGCAATGCTTCCTGGAAACTCGCATCTTCTCAGAGGAGACCCAAGGCCCACACTGGGAACAGAAGTTGTTGTTCGCGGGCCCCGCTTCATCTTCTCTGACTGGAGGGGACACAGAAGAGGTCAGCCATGGCCCATCACTGGCAATACTTCTACAATTTCTTAAAAAAAAAAACAAAACCCAGATGCAAGTGATGCACAGCTTTCTTCCAGAAGGGTCCATATGAAGCTATAGTGCTTCCCATAATGGGAACCTTTGCAGGAAAGCACCATGAGGTCATCAATTTGGTGGCCAATATTGAGGTCATCCAATTAAAAAAAAAAACAACTTCACCCTCAAAATGCAAAGATTTCCTACTCTTTGTTATCTTGCAAAAAGCTAACAACAGAACAGAATATTATGAATGTTATGAACAGAATATTATGATTCTGGACATATAGAAACTAGATCACTCATCATCAGGGAAATGCAAATCAAAACCTCCATGAGCTATCAGCTCACACCTGTCAGAATGGCTAAAATCAAAAATGCAAGAAACAACAAATGTCAGCAAGGATGTGAAGAAAAAGGAACCCTCATGCACTGTTGGTGGGAATGCAAGCAGATGCCACCACTGTGGAGAACAGCATGGAGGTTCCCCCAAAAGTTAAAAAATAGAACTACCCTGGGGCGCCTGGGTGGCTCAGATGGTTAAACATCTGCCTTCGGCTCAGGTCATGATCCCAGGGTCCTGGGATCGAGCCCCACATCGGGCTCCTGGCTCAGCGGGGAACCTGCTTCTCCCTCTCCCTCTGCCTCTCTCCCTGCTCATGCTCTCTCTCTCTCTCTGTATCTCTGTGTCTCAAATGAATAAATAAAATCTTAAAAAAAAAAAAATAGAACTACCCTATGATCCAGCAATTGCACTACTGGGTATTTACCCAAAGTATACGAAAACACTAATTCGAAGGGATATATGCACCCCTCTGTTTATTGCAGATTATTTATAACAGCCAAATTATGGAAGCAGCCAAAATGTCCACTGATAAATGAATGAATAAAGAGTATGTGAATATTAGCCATAAAAAGAATGAAATCTTGCCATATGCAACAATGTGGACAGATCTAGAGAGTATTATGCTAAGTGAAATAAGTCAGAGAAAGACAAATACCATATGATTTCACTCATAAATGGAATTTAAGAAACAAAACTGAAGAAAGAAAGAAACAAAAAAACAGACTCTCAAATACAGAGAACAAACTGGTGGTTGCTGGAGAGGGGAGGAGATGGGTCAAAGAAGTGAAGGGGAGTAAGAGTACACTTATCATGATGAGCACTGAGTAATGTATAGAATTGTTGAATCACTATATTGTATACCTGAAAGTAATGTAACACTGTAAACCTGTACTGGAATTAAAAAGAAAATTAAAAAAGAAAAAAAAACTGGGAAGAGTAGAAAAATACATAATCACCCAAAAGAACTACAGGTGGGTATAAATGTGGTTAATACCCAAGACAGTGAGCTGTGGACTCTAACAGTGTACCTGGTGTAACGGGGACTACAGCCCCATAGGGACCACCTGTCCCTGTACATCATCCCCACGGCCTCCCTCGGCAAGAGGCAGGACATGGCCTCTGTGCCTGGCACACGGTGAGGGCTCCACAAGGGTGGTTCCCTTCTCTCCCTATTGCACTTTTCCACAACAAACCCTCCTTTGCCCCCACCCCATACACACACATACAGTAACTGACCCTACAGTAAAACCCAAGGTCTGACACATTCACTTCTCATGTAAGAACCTCAGGGCCACAATGGATTTTAAAAGTACATACAGTGTTATAAAATAAATGTCCAAGAGTACAGTAATGTGGCAGTCTTCAAACAAGTCCACACGTCATTTGATGCTCCTCCCTTCGAGTGTGGGTTGGTATTAGTGACTTATTTTTAAGGAACAACATATGGCAGAATGATGGTGTGTAACATATAAGATTAGAGCATAAAAGGTGCTGCAGCTTTTCCCCTGCACGCCTGCACCCGCACCCCTCCCCTGGATCTCTCACTCTGGAGGAAGCCAGCTGCCATGTCATTTGGACATTCAAGCAGCTCTGTGGAGAGGTCCACACAATAAGGAACTGAGGCCAGCAGCCATGTGAGCGAGCCATTCTGTAAGAGCCCTAGCCACGCTTTCATAGGACTATAGCTCTGGCCATTATCCTGACCACACCCTCATGACAGACCCTGAACCAGAACTACCCAGCTAAGCCAGCCTCAATTTCCGACCCAAAGAACCAGTGTGGTAATAAACATTGTTTTAAGCAGCTAAGGTTTGGGGTGATTTATTACATAGCAAGTGATAACTAACAAAAGTAGCATGGTATGTATAATTTCTAAATAAATACACATAATTGGGAGTACCCATTCAACATGTGTTTTACTGATGGTGTCAGTATGATGTCAAAAATGTTTAAAGGCCACTGTTATGGATTGAAGGCTGACCTAGAACCTTAGTTCTAGTTGCCTGTAGAGGCGAGACTGGCATCCTTAAAAGCAAAAAGACAACACTCAGAACATTCCTTTTGACTCCTGTCCCCTGGAGGGCAGTCTGTAACAAGGACAAGGTCTTTAGGAATTTGCTCCAAGGCACTTAGATTTAGGAACATGCAAAAAGTTAAATGATTTTCAAAGGATGAGTGAATTTTTAAACCACATCCACCAGTTGAGCAGTCTCTGGAGACTGATGGAAACAGAGACCCCCGGTTAAGCACAGGGAGTAATCATACTGTCAAATAAACCCGTCCCAAGGGGTGAGAGAGTGGGTTTAAACCTACCGGAGAGGCCTCCGCTCCTGCAGGGGCTCCTTTCCCAGAATCTCCTACACCAGATGTAGATGGAGTCTTCTTCCTCTCAGCACTCCGAGTGGGAGAAGACTTGTAAGAAGATTTAAGAGGACCAGCAGGAGCTACACGAGGACAGGCATGGGATACTAGAAGGTTACAATATCACAGCCAAAGAGACAGGGAGCACAGAAGGAAAAAGTAGGGAGAGGAGGGAATTGGGAAGAACACATTTTCTGTTAAAACATAACATGGGCAATCCACATTCTCTAAATACCACCATACTTTTTCTAGTATATGCAGAATAGACACTATCTTGAAAGATTTCCATACTCCATGCTCAAGAGTCCAGTTCATTTCATGAGTTCAAAGTCTGGGCTTTGGAACCAGACAGAACTAGCACTGTCACCAAATAACTGGATCACCTTGGGCAGATTACTTAACCTCTCTAAATGTCAATTTCCTTGTGCAGGAAAGAGTTAACATAGCAGCCCTGAAAATTGTCCTTAGAAAGGCCTGCTTTACAAGGCTGGTCCTTGGTCAGCACCTGAGAACTTAGAGAAGGGTTCTTGCTATTTTTTTTTTTTTAAGATTTTATTTATTTATTCATGAGAGACACAGAGAGAGAGAGAGAGGGAGAAGCAGGCTTCCTGCCGAGCAGGGAGCCCGATGCGGGACTCGATCCCAGGACCCTGGGATCATGACCTGAGCCGAAGGCAGCCGCTTAACCGTCTGAGCCACCCAGGCGCCCCGGGTTCTTGCTATTAACTGACGAGTACCTCACTGTGCCTAAGCTATATGTAATACAACATGACTTAGCCGCTTTCCTTCTGAGAGTCTGGAATTCGGGTATGTAACTGGCCAAGGGTGCCTACGTGACCAGCCCTCAACAAAACCCCGACCACCAAGTCTCTAACGAGCTTTCCTGGTGGGCAACATTTCACATGTGTTATCACAGCTCGTTGCTGGGGGAATTAAGCACGTCCCGTGTGACTCCACTGGGAGAGGACTCTTGGAAACTCGCACCTGGTGTCCTCTGGACTTCGCCTGCGTGCCAATTCCCTCTGCTGATGTGCTGTGCAGCTTCTACTATAACACATCACAGCTGTGAGTGCCACCATATGCTGAGTCTCCTGAGTGCTCCTGGCAAATCACCAAACCTGGGGCTGGTCTTGGGGACCCCTGATACAATTGGTGACAAAGCAGGAACTGCAAGAATGACCCTGATTCACAGACAAATGGTAAAAGCAGTGTTTGAAGAAGAAAGGCTAGGGGCACCTGGGTGGCTCAGTCATTAAGCGTCTGCCTTCGGCTCAGGTCATGGTCCCAGGGTCCTGGGATCGAACCCCGAATCAGGCTCCCTGCTCAGCGCGAAGACTGCTTCTCCCTCTCCCACTCTCCCTGCTTGTGCTCCTGCTCTTGCTATCTCTCTCTCTGTCAAATAAATAAATAAAATCTTAAAAAAAAAAAAAAAGAAAAAGAAAGCCTAAAGGCATGGAGGATGATGACCTTCTGGTGCCTGGTGGCTATGGAGTCGGCCACTGTATCAAACAGCAACCCAGCTGCTGTCTGTTGCAAGAGGTAAAATACCTATGGTATTTGAAGATAACCCATCCAACTCCAAGAGTTGGCTTGCTGGATCCTCTGGCTGGTTTTGGCCATGCTGGCTAAAGTGAGGGGAGAAGTACAACCCAGGTAATGTCTTTGGTTTTGGTTTTCTCCTCCAAGTGAGAGTGGGACACAACCTCCTTGTTTTTTGCCATCAGTGATTTGATAGGAATTTAAAACTCTTAAGTACTAGAACCAGAACAGACCTCCATACCTGGTGATTTTTGCTATGACTTTTGCATAATGGAGTCTCTGGAAAAAGGGAGACATGAAAAGAGAGGCAATCTCCAGACAGAGATAGGTTTGGAGTTTTAAAAATCAACCTTGATCTATTACAGATACAGAACACCCCTCCATGGGGCCCTATCCCGTGAAAGTATCACGGATACTGGTTGCACCGTCTGGGTCACAGACAAATGCTCACAGGAAGGAGCTCGTTCCCCGATGGGACCACCTGACATGGAACTGCTGGTCAGCTCTTAATTTCTGATGCAGAGCCTAATTACATGCCTAACCTGTGATTCCTGACACAGCTGTGAGCTAGGACAGGGTACTTACAGGGAGTATGACCCCTTCACCCTCCCCTGATGATCAGACTCAACACCTGCTCACAAGATGTCTGGTATTTGACTTGCTGGGTGGGGTGCAGTTTGTAACAATGGACTAGGAGCCTAACTCTACTTCCCTTACCTTTCTCCTGCTACACACACCTCAGGAAGGCAATGCACCTGTCCCCAGAGAGGGACTGCTTTTTCCCTAGGTTGTTCACTAGATAAATGAATGGGACTATAAGAGATGGCAGTTGATGCAAACCTATCCTGAAATTTTTTTGAAAATTCAGGATTTTGTTCTGAACATGGTATGTCTTTTTGGTTAAAATTTTTTTTTTGTAAAAAAGGCTCTTATCCTTCTTGCATTCAGCCTTTCCTTATGAAGGATCATTTTAAAAGTAGAGGATGGTTGAGAAAATGTTAAGTCTTGATTACTGAATGGGGTACCGTGATAACAATGAAAAAAAACACAACAAAATCTAGCACATGTAGTGGTGCCGGGGATGGGAAGGACATTCAGGATCTTTGTTTTCCAGAACTGTTCCTGGGAACTCTGCCCTTTTCCTGAAGAAAAACTGTGCTGCCTGTGCCAGCTGCTGTGAGCACTTCAGATCCCCTTGGACTGCTGAGCCCAGGTGGCTGATGACAATGGGACTGGGAGCGGCAGGGCAGGCCAGTTCCTGCACAGTCCCTAAAGACCACCTCTATATGCCGCCCGCACTCAGCAGGTAATGAACTCATGTTGTTGACAGAACTGTGTGGAAAATGACCACCTCAAGTAGTCCCTCTGAAAGCAAGGACTGACCTGAATTCCTTGGGCCAGACTGAGAACCCTGGGGTGGGAGAAACCATGGGGGGAAAGCCACAGTGGGGGCCCTGTTAGCCTGTACTGCCTGACCAATGTATGTCCTGCTTGGGGTGCGTGGAACACCGTAAGCGGTTTCCAGGGGACATGTGTGTCCTCAGGGATTATACTCCCTAGGTGTGTGTTCTGACTATTGTGACACTGCCTCCACCCTGGAAGGCTTGAGGATGGCTTCATCTTACTGACCAGGTTGTGCTGGGCCTGAACTGATGCCTTGGGCCAGGTTAAAAAAAAAAAGTGGGGGGGGGGGGCGGCGCCTGGGTGGCTCAGTTGGTTAAGCATCTGCCTTCGACTCAGGCTGTGATCTCGGGGTCCTGGGATCAAGCCCCGCATCGGGCTCCCTGCTCAGCGGGAAGCCTGCTTCTCCCTCTCCTGCTCATGTTCTCTCTCTCTGTCAAATAAATAAATAAAATCTTAAAAAAAAAAAAAAAGATTCATACAGAAAATCAAGGAGGAAGCCACCTGGCTTTCTAAGACAGACCTTTATGCTAACCATCTGTGTTTTAACTGCCTAAGTACAGAACCCCTAAAGGGTATAAGTGAGGTCAATGCTGTAGGTTGGCCTCACTCTGCTGTGTGGAATCCTACTGATGGTAATTCTGCTGTAAAGCTGCCTTTGCCAAAGACCAAGGGGATGGACTGTGCAGAAAAGAAAACAGAAGGGGTGCCTAGGTGGCTCAGTCATTAAGCGTCTGCCTTCCGCTCAGGTCATGATCCCAGGGTCCTGGGATCCAGCCCCGTATCGGGCTCCCTGCTCAGTGGGGAGTCTGCTTCTCCCTCTCCCTCTGCCTCTCCCCCTGCTCATGCTTGCTCTCGCTCTCTCTCCCAAATAAATAAATAAAATCCTTAAAAAGAAAAGAACAACATAGAAGGTCTGACTGCTGTCCTTGGAAAGGCCAGCTTACAAGGTTGGCCCTGGCATCAGGGAACTTGTTTTCCGGGAGAGCTCCCACCATTAACTGATAAGAGTGGCTCACTGTGCCTAAGCTGTTTGTATAAACAACATGATTTATGCTCAATACCTGCTTTCTTTCTGAGAGTCTGGAATTTGGGTATGTATCTGGCAGGGGTTACCTATGTGACCAGCCTCCAATAAAAACTCTGGGCACCGAGTCTCTAATAAGCTTCCTTGGTAGGTAACACTTCATACATGTCACAACTCATTGCTGAGGGAATGTGCTCTGTATGGCTCCACTGGAGAGAGGACTCTGGAAGCTTGTTCCTGCTCTTCCCCAGACTTCATCCCATGGCCTTTTCCCTTTGCCGATTTTGCTCTGTAGACTTTCACTATAATAAATCATAGTTAAGAGTCCTCCTAGAAAATCAGTGATCCTGCAAATGGTCTTGGGGACTTCATGACACATTCCTTGTTCTCAAAAGGGGATACTTCCTACCTCCCAGGAATTTTTTGGTTAAGAGCTAATTCATGTACCATAAAATTTACCCTTTAAAAACTGTACAATTTAGTGGTTTTCAGTATATTCACGTTTGTATAATCATAACTACAGTCTAATTCCAGAAAATGTTCAATACTCCCAAAACAAACCCTGTAACCAATTAAGCATTCATTCCCTTTCCTCACTCCTCCAGTCCCTAGCAATCACAAATTTACTGTCTTTCTGGATTTGCCCTACTCTGGACAAGTCATATAAATGGACTCATGTAACTTGTGGCATTTTGTGTCTGGCTTCTTTCACTGAGCCTAATGTTTTCAAGGTTCATGGTGCAGCATATATCAGTAATCCATTCTTCTTCATAGCTGAGTAATATTCCACTTTATGGATATATATTTTGTTTATCCACTCATCTGCTGATGGACATTTGGGTTGTTTCCACTTTGTGTGGCTAATGATGCTAAGAACTACTCAGGGACAAGCTTTTGTGTGTTTTCAGTTTTCTGGGCCCTATACATAAGAGTGCAATTGCTGGGGCGCCTGGGTGGCTCAGTCGTTAAGCGTCTGCCTTCAGCTCAGGTCATGATCCCAGGGTCCTGGGTTCGAGCCCTGCATCGGGCTCCCCGCTCGGCGGGAAGCCTGCTTCTCCCTCTCCCACTCCCCCTGCTTGTGTTCCCTCTCTCGCTGTGTCTCTCTCTGTCAAATAAATAAATAAAATCTTTAAAAAAAAAAAAAAGAGTGCAATTGCTGGGTCACATGGTAACTCTATGTTTAACCTTTTGAGGAACTTGCCAGGTGGTTTTCCAAAGTGAGTACATCATTTTATATCCCTACCAGCAATGTATGAACGTTATAATTTCTCCACATCCTTGCCAACACTTACTATTTTCCCTGTTTTCTTTGAATTTTAGCCATTCTAGTAAGTGTGAAGTGGTATTTCATTGTGGTTTTCATATACATTTCCCTAATGACTAATGATGTTGAGCATCTTGTCATGTGCTTATTGGCCATCTGTATATTTCTTTGTGGAAATACCACAACTACTCAAACTAGTATGCTGTCTCTAAAAACTAGTCAGAAGTAGGTAGAGGATTATATGTCATCTAAGTGAACACACTCTCTTGGGAACTAAGACCAGACCTGCTTTAATGTGGACACAGTGTTGCTAATCTGCAAACAGAGAATGTCAGCCCTCATTAATCTTGCCATGACAATTTAATCTGATTTAGTCAAGAAAAAGCTTTGATAGTGACGCCCACAGTTTCTCAGACTTCAGTGTGCAGGTCTGCTGGGGCCTGAGAGTGTGTCTTCCTAACAAGTTCCCAGGTGATACCAATATTGATGGTCCACGGGCCACCCCGTGAGCAGCAAGGCTCTAGATATTTGTTGAGCTCTTACTCTGCCAATCATTGTCCTATCTCATTTAATCCTCATGACAATTTAAAGTATTTCAATTTTAGATAAGGAAACTGAGGCTTTAGGGGCACCTGGGTGGCTCTGTCAGTTAAGTGTCCAACTCTTGATTTTGGCTCAGGCCATTATCTCAGAGTCAGGAGATCAAACCCCGAATTGGGTTCTCCACTCAGCAGGGAGTTTGCTCGAGATTCTCTCTCTCCCTCTCCCCACAAGTGCGTGCTTGCACTTGTGCTCGCTCTCTCTCTCTCAAATAAATAAATTAATCTTAAAAAAAAGGAATCTGAGGCTTAGAGAGGTTAATTAATTTACCCAAAGCGGTAAGAACTAGTAAGTGGTAAATCTGGTCATGGGACTCCAGAGACTGTGGTTTACAGGCTACTTTGCCAAATCATCTCTTTAAGAAAGTCTACTAACCTCCACAGCTCATGAAATAGATTCTTTTTCCTAATCCACATGCCCTCAATCAAAAATAAGTTACTCACCTCTGTGACACTGAAAAGAAAAAAAAAACATAGTAACAACAAAACACTGGTGGGTAGAAAACGTTATTAACCACTGAAGACATTTCACGAAGTAAGCAAATGGGAAACAAAATAGAAAAATTCAGGAATAACTCATAGGTCGACCAATACTACTTTGGGCATTTTCCTCAGTGTCACCAGTTTGGCCTCTTTTACCTGAGTCATTGGCCTGCTCAGAGAGTATGAGTGCACTTCTGCTTCTGGCTAAAGAAGCCTGTGTAGGTGTCAACAGTCGCATAACAAGAAAGGTTTCCATGGGACTAAGGTGTGTGCGATGAGCTGAGGGATGGAATCAAATGAAAATTTTAAAAAGCAAAATAAAATGTTTAAAAAAACACAGTGTATGATGCAAATTAGCTTTTGGGTGGCAGAATGAATGTGGAAAATAAAAATACTCTAGCAAAGGATGGCTTTGGAGTTTGTCATAGTAAAATAAAACAAACGATGTGTCATTTGGAGTTTGGGAGAGTTTGTTAATTCTTTTGGGGTGCCAGAATTCATTCAATATGCTATTACAGTCTCACAATATTACCTGTATCCCTTGAAGAGAATTAGCCCATCTCCCAAGATGTAATATGGACTCAAGAAACCATTTACTCACCAAGTAGATCTAACATTGAAAAAAGATTACTCCTATGAAACACTTTAGGGTCCTCTGTTAAAAAACATTTCATTATACACTGATTTTGTTAATGTATAAATATGCATCTGTTCATACTTTTTCCATGTACATAAGGGCAAAAATTAAATAAGAACCACAAAAACAAAAACAGCCAACTAATTATCGGCTTTAATGGAAGTAGCAGTAATCATAATCTAAAACACAGTGACTGAAGTGTCATTTTGATGGCTTTGGAATATATTATATGGTAATGGATTAACTTTTCCATTACTTTGAATTTCTTGGGTACCCATTAGCCAGTAAATGGTTTGGGAATTAAAATTTTTTAATTTATAATCCACAAGCAGATAATTCAGTTGTCAACAATATGTAATAACATCCTGGTATCTTTACATAGTAATCAATGCAAATATGAATTTAACCTCAATTTGTAACCATGTGAATTAATGAAAACATACGGAATACACTCACTATGGAAAAGCCATATAGAATTAAAAGCAAGGAGATGTTTTCTCATTCAGCTCTCAATTAATTCAAGGTTTCCAGCGTTCAGTTCAACCATGAACTGCATCAGAGATCAGCAACACTGACACTTATGGGGTCTCTGACACACACGATAGGCCTCTGTGCTGGAGGTGCAAGGTCAATGCCACTGAAAAACAACCAGAAAGGCACACTGGCCTCTTCAAAGTCACAAACACTCTCCTGCTTGCCCCTTGGTAATGCCTGACCTGTTAAATAGTCCACTGGCAGCTGACACTTCTCCAGTGTTAAAATACGCATTTAATGCATGGAGTTTCCCTCACTTCCTTAACCTACATTCTCTGAAAGGTACAAATTCATACTTTTAGTAACTTATCTGAGCCTCTATTAGAACACAAGCAGTTTTAAATCTATTCAGTTTCTGGAACCGGCACATGTCCTATACATATCATCCTCCACCTCAAAGTGAGTGCCGGAACAGGCCACCCGTCCTTTTCCCCTTTTAAAGACTTCATATTAGCTCTGAACTTCTGTTTTCAAAACAGAAAGGGCAGGCCTACAAACCTCAGACAATAACAGAGTCCAATTTTTTTTTTCATACAACTAAGTTTTCCACCTATCTCTGCATGATCAATTCTGCTGTTTCTGGCTAATCAAGTAGATCACATCAATAACCAGTTACTTTTTTAACAGTCATATCTGCCCACTGGTCAATTAATTCTAGGGCAGGATAACTCCTACATGTACTGTGGAAAATGGAATAATCTCTTTCAGACTGAAAGAATATCATTAATTCCTGTAGCTATTCAACAACGAACTGGCTCTAAAGAGTGATGCCACTTTCCAAAGTCCCATTAAGTGAGGCCCTGGGGCTCCCACATTCACACAAGGCTGAATGCAAATAATGGAGGCATTTGCAGAAGGCTCAAGAGAAGCTCTCACAAAGACTGATGTTAAGACGCTCACACTAGAAAGAAGAAAACCAGAGACCAGGTCTACACATTCACTTGCCTCGGTCTGGGGAATAGGATATTGCCACGGTGGATGAAGACAGGCGCTTACTCATGGGAGGCTCCGTCTGCTTTGGCAAATTCATGGTTGATGTTGAAAGTTTGTCACATGCTGCAGAGAAACGCATTAAAGACATTGGTATTCACACCATTGTAGACTGAGAAACACATATCCCAAAGTGTTCTTCCTGTCCTCATCCACACGCCTCCTAAACTGCTGTGGCATAGCACATGGCTTCCATCATCCTGCTATGTATGCACTTAGCCTATCTGGAAATGCCCAGGCCACGGCAGCCATCAGTCTGAAGCAAGATCTTCTCTTCAATTTCAAATATTCAACCTCACTCAACTATTCAACTAAAGCCATGCTAATCCCACCGGCAAATCATTTCTTGTGTCCAGGGACTTAATTTTAAGCATATTCAGACTACACAAAAACAAAACCAATCTGGACCCAGAGACAAATCACCACTGGAAAAATGTTCTATGGTCTGAGACTGTGTGAACTGAAAGCAGACGTTTTCTGAAGGTTATCTACAGGCTCAGGGTGGAGAAAGGAGTAATATGGAATGCAAGAAGCTATATTTAAAACAGAACAACCTTTAGCAGTTGATTTCTTTCTCCTCTCAAGAGATGGGATCACAATAGCCCTTTTTCTAATGCTGTGACTATTTATGGTTAGGATTTTAACATGTGGTCCTACATTTGGTATTCTTAATTTCCAGCCATTATTTTAGACTGGTTTCTGAATTAAACCATTACAGCAAATGAAGAGGTGCTGTTAATGCCCTGTCAAGCCATATCAAAGCCTGAAGCAAAAAGAAGGATGTGCACCCTTGGCTTTAAAGGAAGCAAACTCATCACTAATTAGGTTTAAAACTATTCCTCTCATCTTGTTTCCAAATGAGAAATTTGCTGTGTTTTACAATATGTCCTGACCAAGTGAAAATCTTAAGTAAATTTTAATTCTCTTAAGCTGAAGTGAAATTATAATAAATTCTATTTTGGTATAAATAAAATATTTAAATTTAAAATGATGTGAGTTTTAACATATCTACTCAATTTTTCAGCATTTTTCAACTACTTTTTTTTTTTTTAAGATTTTATTTATTTATTTATTTGTCAGAGAGAGAAAGAGAGAGACAGAGCACAGGCAGGGGGAGTGGCAGGAGAGGGAGAAGCAGGCTCCCCACGGAGCAGGGAGCCCGATGCGGGACTCGATCCCAGAACCCTGGGATCATGACCTGAGCCGAAGGCAGACGCCCAATGACTGAGCCACCCAGGCGCCCCATTTTTCAACTACTTTGATGAAAAAAAGTTAACCAGTAGGGCGCCTGGGTGGCTCAGTTGGTTAAGCGTCTGCCTTCGGCTCAGGTCATGATCCCAGGGTCCTGGGATCGAGTCCCGCATCGGGCTCCCTGCTCTGTGGGGAGCCTGCTTCTCCCTCTCCTCCCCACTTGTGCTCTCTATCTCACTATCTCTCTCTCAAATAAATAAAAAAAAAATCTAAAAAAAAATTAAAAAAAAAAAGTTAACCAGTAGAAATTATGTAAAACTATGTGTAAAGGGGTACACATTCCACCCTTTTGCCTCATGCTCCAATATGGCTGGCTCAGTATGGTACTTGTCTTTAGAAATTTGATATTTTGTTCATCATGGATTGTTCTGTATTAATTTTGATTCAAATATTATTTAATCTTGATAAGGTGTTCCCTTAAACTGTATACCCAAATCAAGTACTGTGGTTGCCTCACCCTGGCCCCAAGCCTTGGGTGTGATTCCCAAGGGGTAATTATCAACTCTACCTACTGCCCCTCTCTTTTAGGAGCAGACTAGCGCCACACTACAGTTAATCTGACCCATGGAGCAAATTCTCTGCTACTCAGCAACACCAATAAGGAATTTTGTCAAAGGAATGCTGGGAACCAAAGATATCTATCTATTCCTACTGCTGTAATTTGACCTGTACTTCTGGTAAATACTGCATCCCTTTTACATCTTGTTTTTTCTCTGCCAGCCAAAGATAGATTGAATTTCTAAAGTATTAACTGGGAGAAAAGTTTTACTAATTCCGTTCTTGTCCTAGAACCTAAGAATTTCCCAGGCTTGAATCCAAAAACAAAGAACCTATTAGACGAAATCAAGAACAAAGCAAACTCATCTCCTTGCTTGGATTCCCAGTGTTAGCACTGATAAACTCCCTACCACTCCGTCTCAAACACCTCTTCCAGGAATCCATCACATTAACACCCAGAACTCTTTGTAAGAGTACAGATTTTGGTAATCAGAAGTGACTCAAACACCCTACTACATAATGCCTAAAACCAATAATTAATGAGAGTGTTAAAGATCTAAATGCACAAAAGTCAAACACTGACAAGATTTTTAAGGCAGAAGTTAGTGAGCTAAAGATGAAATGTCTCCAGGGCACTAGTGTGTAAGGCATGCACAGCTCCATGATGACAGAGGAACAAAGAAATATGGGCACGTCATTCACATTTCTAGAAAAATAGTTCTAAGGGGTCAGTCTACGAAATCAATTGTAAAGCGCTTGAGACAGACACAGTGATGGAGGGGAATGATCAGAACACTCATCACAAAACGCCATGGCACGGTGAAGCTCAGATATACCGTTGGTGGACTCGGCAGCGGTGGCAGTGGTCCCTGGGTCCGGAGGGAGGGTGCTGGCTGCTAAACCTAGAGGAGGGGGTGGGGTATTTTCTGATTCACCTACACAGCAAAAAATCAGAGCAAAGACAGGTAAAAGAAAAAAGTCCCAATTTCTGGTTGACTTTAGTTTCTAATTAGGAAATTAGAAAAAGTAACTGAAATGGGTTGACTTCCCAAAAAGAAATAAAGTATATTCACTGACAAAAGGTTAAAAGCACAGCACAGCAAAGTCAAACAACTGTACTACAAACAGAACCCATCTGTTCTCAGAAAGAGCTGTGTAATAGAATGACAAGATCACAGAAAAGACATTGAAGAGAGAGAAAGGCCACCCAGAGACTAGTGAGAGTTCACACATTAAACACTTGAAAATTTAAAGATGAGTATGATCTGGAAAATGAAATAAATAAGTCACCTTGAAACAAAATTGAAAGAGCAACAAAAATGAATAATGAGGAGGGAAAAGCCCCAGCCCCTTTTGGAGGTTAGGTAACTGCTGCTCAGCCTTTCCGGGCCATGGTACAGCAGTGACTTAGTCTACTGCTATTTGACCTTCCCTGAAATCAGATTACCACTAGGCTTGCCAGGTGCATCAGGTTAACCAGGCTCTGCATTCATTTTCTTCGCTTTTCTTTTGCTTTCCTTTAAAGCCCAGTTACTGTATCAACTGCTGTTTGCTAGCAAAAGGAACGCACAGACTCCCTTCATGAGAAATGCATACATAGGAAGCTTGGCATCACATCTGAAAAAGGTACCTGCAGATGACTACAAAGCATGCCCCGGATCCAATGGGCACCAACCTGTGCCCATGATCTGCTGCCTGCCCCATGATCGCCCACTGGGGCCCTGCAATGCAGGGACAGCCCTATACTCACCATCACGACCTCCAGGCCCGGTGGCCAGCGAAGCTCCCCACGAGCACTTCTTCTTTAGCTCCAGTTGCTGCGTGCGCTCCAGGGACCGGCGCATCATTGCCTCCAGCCGCTCCTGCCCAGTTCACGCAAGGGAGAGCAACATAACCACCCAGCCCCACCGTGCTGCTGTGCTCCAGTGCTCAGGGTGAGTCACCAAATGGGGCTGTCGGTGCTCAGCATCCAAAACCCAGGCACACGTGCTCTCCACCACACTAGCGAGATCTTAGTGGGTGGAGAGTAAACAATGCAGCTTGCGCTGGCTCCGAGCCCCAGGGGGCAGGCTGCTGCCTGCCGCAGCCAGGCCTTGATTAGTTTAAGAATAATGCCAGACAAGCATTAACTCTTTCAGGCCTGTCTCAAGTACCATTTTGCCTCACTGAATAGAACTGGAATTGTGCTCTGGAACCAAGGGCATTCTCTCTAGTAGAAAAGCATAAAGCATTCTGATTTGAGAAAATTTAAATTAAAATATAATTTAAATTTTTATAGCCCTAAGCATAACTTTTTGGGGTAATACATGGCTTTGAGATCTATTTTACCAAGCCTCATTTTCATCTTAGAACTTCTTAAAGGGAAATCAATTGTTTTCTACCTTGTAACATTTTCCTGCTACATAGTATTTTGGGGATAATGCTGCATATTTCAAATTTTAAAAGAGACAACAGTAGAGAACCTCCTGGCCATAAAATAAAGCATCTATACATTCTCAAGAGTTAGATGGGGGGTAGGGGAAGAGGAACTAAACAGTTTTTAGCCAGAAGAAAAAACAACAACAACCAGGCTTCTCCCTTACCAGAGTATTTATTAAAAGCACTCTCCTGTGTTAACCAAAGTGTTATTTTCATAAAGTTGGGTCTGAATGTTGGCAAATATTTCCTTGGCACTGGAGTGAAGCTCTTTTAATTTTCCATTCCCCGGCACCCCAATGACATTGCAAATACCAAATCCTCTCCCTGCCTCTACTGGACAAGGCCTGAAGCAAGGTAAACAGGTACATGCTGATGCCCTTCTGCCTTCATAAAACCCAACCCTGAGGTGCTCTAGGAGATGGGGTCATCCTAGCCCAACTCCAAAACAAAAAGATAACTATTTTCTCATGGCTTGAATAAAAAGTAAGCAAAATTAATTTAGGGCAGCACCAACTGTGTAACCATGACTTAAGAATCAGGGAAAGGCTCCTTTATTTTACTTACTAGAAACACAGAAAGGTCACTTAGGAGGTATCTTCATCTATCCCTTTTGTCTATACTAGAGGGATGGGATGAGCATCTCGGCTTCCTCTGCATAATTTTTCTCTGAACAGCACTTTGCTAAGAGATGGCCTCTCCAAGGACCTCTGAGTAGAAAGGGGGCTTTTTTTTCCTCCTGTAAATCTCAGATTTTTATTTGCACTAGTTTCTGGCTGAGACTCTACAATCATGAGTGTGCATTTCCTAGCAAAGTCCTGTCCTCATGACCCTGGCCCATTAAATTCTGACAGCCAACCCCCGGGGCTTACCCAAATAAAGTTGGCGGTTTGGAGGGACTAGAACTTTTTGACTATTCGATACTTGAAGTACAGTCACTTGAGACTGGGGCTGAAAGGTATTTAATTATATGGATTTAACATAAAGTATTTAACCAATGATGTAATTTAAGTGTTGAAACCTTTTACCTCAGAGTGAATTTAGTATTGAGTAGGTTATAGGAGATTTCCTACATGCCAAAAGGACCTCACAAGACAGTCCTTCATTTATTAGGAGACCAATGACAAAACTTGCCAGCCAAACTTACCATTGAGCAGCTATATAGGGGTATAATTATAAGGGAATGCTCACCCAAATCCAGACCTACCACTGGATTGTTCAGTTACCCTAAAAAAAAGCCAAACACAAAAACAAAACTTCTACCATCTACCTCCAACCCACTGAGCCGCTTCAAATTCCACTGTTAGAGATACATTCCTCTGAATCATAAGCAGGCTTATGAAAATGAAGCTATCCCGGAGAGAGGACACAATCACTCTGTGTCACCTGCTTTTGCAGAGATGATGAAAAATAGGTGGTAACCAAGCTCTACAGTAAGGAGACTTATGGAACCCAAAATCATCAGAATGGGGTGATTCAAACATGTCAAAAACAAAACTGGTCCAGGGGCACCTGGGTGGCTCAGTCGGTTAAGCGCTTGGCTTTGGCTCAGGTCATGATCTCAGGGTCCTGGGTCCTCAGCAGGTACTCTGTTTCTCCCTCTGCCCCTCCCCCTGCTTGTGCTCTCTCTCTCCCCCACCTCAAATAAATAAAATCTTAAAACAAAACAAAACAGGTCTACTTCACTCTTGTTAGAGGTTAGTCCTATATAAGTCCCTATTACCCTTTGTGTGTGTGTCAGGGCCGGGGGGGGGGGGGGAGGCAGGAAGGGAATTTTTCTGTTACTTCATTTGATCAAATGGGGATGAGGGCACCTGGGTGGCTCAGTTGGTTAAATGACTCCCGGTTTCGGCTTCAGTTCAGGTCATGATCTCAGGGTAGTGGGACTGAGCCCTTTATCGGGCTCTGTGCTCAGTGTTAAGTGTAGTGTCTGCTTGAGATTCTTTCTCTTTCCCTCTTTAATAAAATCTTTAATAAAATGGGGATGACATTACCTGTATCATCAGAGCACTCAAGTCTATGACACAATGACTAGCATAGTAAGTCCTTAACCAATACTAACTGAATCCAAATTGGTAAAGGAAAATTATTAACAGGACAGTTTAAAGCAGTGATTCTCAAACTTGAGAGTGAATTTGCATCAGAATCCCCTGGAGGGCTTGTTAAAACACCAATTGCTGGCCCCACATGCAGAGTTTCTGATTCTACAGGTCTGGGGTGGTACCTGCTAAGAATTTGCATTTCTGACAAGTTCCCAGGCTACGTGGATGCTGCTGGTCCTGGAACTCACTGTGAGAACCACTGGTTAGAGGAAAGGGTGAGCATGAGAGAGCATGCGAGAAAGTTCAATCACACCAGAAGAACAGTATTAATAAATGTTAGAGCTGCATACTGCATACCAAAATTCCTGCCAAATTCTCGTTCTCCTGAGTATCATCAGATGATCAATAGAGGATGGGAAAAGGGCAAGGCAGATTCTTGTCCTTAGAATGTCCTCTATTGGGTACAGCTTAGTGGAAGGAATGAGGGGACCTCACCCTTGACCCCTTTAGCTCTGGCCCTAGATCTGCCTGGATGAACTCAGAGGAGAAGAACCAAGACCAAGATGACTCACGGAGCTGGCCAAGGAGTATAAAAGGCCTCCAGCAGGGCACAGCCTAGGCACTGTTGATGACCCAGACAGCCATCTCTGGCAGGAATGGAGAGCTGGCTGTGCCTTTTCCACTGCCCTTACTACATGTGTTCTTGGGAAAACAGTGTGGGAACAAGCCCCCAAGGGGTTCTCAGTCGGGCTCAGCAGAAGGTCTTTCTCTTTACAAACAGATGTCTACATCTGGCCAGGAGGCCACATTGTCACCACGACCCCATGCCAGCCAATGCCCTCTGAGACCAGCTAGCTCTCAGTTTAGTGAAGTTTTTGTTTAGGTGAGTTTAGAAATTTCTCCTTTTTACACTCAGCCTGGTGGGTTTTGTTAGGTATCAAGCAATAAGATTTTGAGAAGTATGAGATGAAGCTACTCTTTGACAGAGGCCTTTCCTGGTTATCTGTTTAGCATGAGGAACGTGGAGTTGGCTTCACCAAATTCCATTTCTCAGGGCCTCTAGTCAGGAAACTATACCACTCCAAGGGGAGAATGGATGAGTGCATTGTGTTGGCAATCCTAACCAAAGCATGTGACAAGGGTTTACTCTAAAAGCTTGAATCTTGGGAGCTGTGTGGCGTGCAAGGATTAGAAGAACCCACCTTGAGGAGAAAGCAGCCTTCAGTGAGAGAATGAGCTCAAGGTCAGTATCTCAAGTGGACTGGATAGCCCCTTCCCCAGGACAGGCCTGACCAGTCTCCAGCCCTCCCAGTCCTCAAGACCTCTAGAAGCCAGGCTGTTTGTGGTGCCCACTTCTGTACTGGTAGACAGGAAGCCTCCTGGTCGAGTTGAGGTCCACAGATGAGGAGTTACCAAAAGCAACATCATGGCAACTCTAAGGACATGGAACCAGGACAGGGCTAGGAGGGAGGTGTGGAGTCAACAGGTCTTTTATGAGCTCCTAGTATCAGCCCCAGAGAGGTAGGCCTTGGAGCGCAACCCAAACAATTTCCAATAAGCTACAGAAGCAAAATTGGCTACAGTGGAATGAACCATTCCTGCAGAGGCTTCTCTCTGGTTGACAGAGACAGAACATGACAAGAAGAATGAGAAAAGATTGGAGAATCTATGCAGCCATGTGCCAAGCAGTCAGTAGCCTTGTCAAAGATTTCCAGGGAAACATGAGGGCAAATGCAAGGTTTTCCTTTGGAAAGGGGCCCCCGCACTATAGACCTATCCATCCTCTCCAAAGTTCACCCACAAGAATGCCAAACAGGTCTCAGCACTAGCAGACTGCTGACACTGATGTGGTTAACAGGCTGGCAGGTGTGTGGAAAGTCCCTAACCTCCACCTGGGACTCTGGGGGCCCTGAAGGTGGGAGTGGTGGCAGAGGAAGGCTGCTGTTTCCTCGTGTTGCTACACAACCACAGGAGGCCCAGACTCTCAGCCCTGCTGTGTTGTGTCTGGGGAGAAGAAGGAAGCAAGCTCAGCTTGTATTTGTAGGGACAAAGGTCAGGCAGTATCCCCCATACCCCATTATCATCCATGTTAGGGGTGAAAGGAAGCACACAAAGCAAACAGAAAATTATGTTGAAGTGCAACCATTTAAGATTCAACTGAAGTCACTGAAGGGAATCTAACATTTCTGAACACTACTCTGTGCAAGGTGCTTTGCTGGAACTTTTACAGAAGTCACTTCCTTTAATTCCTGTGACCACCTCTGCTTTGGGCTGAAGAGACTGAGTTAGAGGGTTATGAGGAGCTAGGTGACTTATTCCTGGCTACCAACAGCCCAGTAGTAGAGCTGGGATTTGCACAGGGAGCAGATGAATCCATGCAGTTGTCAGGCCCACAGCCAGCAATGGTGAATTGGAGCTAAGACCCTGGCAATGACTCTCATTTGCCAAGAGGAACAAAGCAATCACCATTTAAACGAGTGCTTTGTGGACAAAGATGGGTCTAATTGTGTTTGTGTGTGTATGTACACATGTGCACATTTTCACGTTTTTTTCATTTAAAAAAGAGGAAGGGGTAAAAGATGTATAGTCATAAACTATACAGAGATTTAAAAAAGATACCAAATCTATACAAATGTCTCTGAATCCTATAGAGCCGGTGATTAATAAACCTCTATATTATTTATACTAAATGATGAGTCATTATACCTTATGAATAAAAAATGATCATCACCTGATACAAGGCTTTGATTACATCCTTAAAATATACTTGTTAAGAAAATCTATACCCCAAATATGCTTTCTAAATATATTTTCAAAGTTTAGTAATAAAGGACTCTACAGTGGTAACAACATTGTTTCTTTTTTAAAAGGTAATGTAGAGAAAGGATGATTAAAGCAAGAGAGTGCATTAAAATTTAAATATACTAGCATGTTTGTATTTGAAGGCAGACTGCTGTGAACCTGGGACCTTACCTCCTCCTCCCGGAGCTTCTGCTTCCTCTTCTCTTCCACAGCTGCCCTCTTCTGGTCCTCCCGCTGTCGCTGCTCTTCCAGTTTCCGCCATCGCTCCTCAATTTGCTTTTCATACTGGAGCTTCGCTCTTTTCTGTTTTTCCAAGATCTGCTGCTCCCGGGCAGCTGAGGGAAGGAAAGCAGAAGGGAGGTGTCATTATGAGAGCACACCACGCGGTTTGGATTAACCAAAATGCAGAAGCAAGAGTGAGACCAAAGAAGAGCCCAGTGGGATTCTAGGCTACAGTGATTGAGATGAAAGGTTCTGGCATCTCTGCCACTAGATGGGTGACTCTGGGCATGCTAACCACATCATCTCTCTGCCTTGATTTCCTCTTCTGTGAAGTGGGGACCATCGTGTCTGCAAACTCACAGTGTGGTGAAGATTAGATGAGACCAAGCATGGGAAGTACATGGTAACAGCCCCTGCACACGGCAGCCACAACTCCTCCTGCTACCACCAAGTCAGAGCTGTCATGGTGGCTAAGCCACACACTAGATCGAGAAATGACTTCTAAGTCATTTATTTAAATAAAGAGCATTTTTCCTAAAAAAAAAAAAAAAAAAAAAAATGTGGAAGACACTGAGCTAGGCAAGGGTGCAAACTCATGATATTCCCCTCAAGACATTTTCTAAGGACTATCTACCTGGTGGTGTCAGGGAAGGGTTCCCTGGGGAAAACAATATGTGACCAACTGGCAGGAGCCAATCAAGAAGAACCTGAAAGCTCACTTGTGTCAATTCAGTGGGGAAACCACTAGTTACCTACCCCACAGTACCCTGTGGGGAACACATCGTACTTATCTGTCTATAGTTTGCAAGAGCGAAGAGAGCCTTTCTCAACTGGGTTTCCCACCCTAACACAGAAAATATCTTAAATGCTAATTTTCTCAGTTCTGAGGATGGCCCTTCTAGATGCCCAGGAAAGAGCCTGAGTGATTGCACATAGTGGATGCCTGAGGAGGTGGGGGCACTGACTGTTTCTTGTTCTTCACCATCTTACCCACAGTCTCTAACAGAGTATCTAGAACATAGCAGAGGTTCAATGTTTGCTAAGTGAGTAAATGAACTGTTCTGAGAATTAAATAACAATTTTGAACATGCCAGCCAAAGTGTCGATTTGCTTCCCAGTGCTTCATGTTCATTTAGCAATTGTCCCAGCTCTCTCCCCATTCAGTCATCAACTTCTAAGGGTGTTCAGAAAAGGCACCACCACATCTCTATTCCCTTGGACCTAAACAGCCAAAGGGCACAACTTACCAAGACATTTTTCTCTTTCTTCTCGTCTTTCTTTAGCTAGTCTTTGTCTCTCATCAGATCTTAAAAATCCATCCATACCTATAAAAAACAAAACATGTTAAAATAATTCTTCCCTCTTTCCTTACCTGCTGAGTGTCAGGGGCCACTGGTCCCGCACCCTGGGTCTGGCCACACACATACATCATCCATCGCCATCACTTTATCCATGGAGGCCCAATACACCATTCCCCACCACACACACACACACACACACACACACACACGGCCAGGCCCTGAGAGCTGAGGGGTGGCAGCCACAGCTTCCACATTCACCCACCAAGCTGTGCTGTAGTGGCCTCAATGCCAATCCTGGAGAACCATGCCCTTTCCCTCTGTCCCCAGGACTGGACCTGGAGAGGGTCAGAAAATGCCAGGGAGGCCTGGCAGGGTGCAAAAAAGCCCACCAGGCCTCCCCAAGCCTGGCTCCCAGGGGAGAGAAGAAGCACAAAAGTGGACACAATTATTACACAGATAGTCAACATTCTACTTTCTGAAGGGAGCCAAGTGCTGAGGGACACGTACAAGCTCCTTGGGTAAGCACTGAGAAATACAACACTCAAGTTTGATTCTGGTTCTGCTAAATTTGCTCCAATGTCAATCTTAGTATTTTAGAATCAAAAAGAAGAAATATAACATATTCCTGTTTGTCATTTAAATATCTACAACAAACAAAATGGAACAGATGGCAGTTTCCTCCATAAATGTCCAGGAAACACCCCAGGAGCTCTGCATCTCCACCCACCCTCTACAGGACCATAAAGCGCTTTCTGAATGAAAGATCAAATGAGCTTCATGGTAATTTTAGGATTAGAAATAATTTACTGCACTCAGTCACAATCAATCATTCATGAGCATTACTTACATAACGTTCAAGCACATCTTGGAGAAATCAGCTTCTGTGTTACTACAACCAGACTCACTGTCATGGTGCCCAGGCCCTCCTTTCTGGTAGTGTCACATGTTGACATCCTTGTGTGCCTTGCTGCCACAGTTACCTGCACCCCTTTTGGGGAGGTTCCTGTGACTGTCCAAGAGAGAGACCAGAGACGTGGACTCGGTATAGGCAGCAGGAATGCAGATAGGGATGGATGTGATAAACACTGGATTGTCACAACTCCCCATGGGCATCTGATTTTGCATCTTGGATTACATATCAGGGATATTAAAGCTCAAGACTGAAGTACTAGAAAATCAACCTGGACTATAAATGCCATTACCCATGTTTGTTTTTAGTTAACTCTTAACTATGATACTACCAACAACATAAACATCATCAAGAATTTGAAGGCCCACTTCTTAGCTCATCATTGCTGGCTCCCCACAGTCTGATCTGAAACTCTCTTCCCAACTTGACATCAGCACTGCCCCTTTCTTCTACACACCTTCCAGCTCAAGATACCCCTTCTCCCACACCCCAACACCTATTTAAATCCCACCCACCTTCAAGACCCCACAGTTCCCCAGAACCTATAATGCTCTGTGCTCCCACACAGTTAGCAGAAGTCTAATTTCATTCTGCTTGGCTGCAGAATTCTCCTCTGATTCAGTCTCCCTGGGAGGAGGGAGAGGCTACTGAGGCAAGGGTGGCTTATGTATGTCTGGGTCACCCCAGCTCGGGGCACTGCCCCCCAACAGTGCCCCTAAAGTGAACACACAATGCTCAAAAGCAGGCATGTAGTCGGTGGAAGGGAGACAAAACCAGGTTTTTCTTTTCTCTAAACACTTTCAGGCTCTAGTGTCTACCTCAAGAGTTTGACTAATTAGAATTTCTTCTGTGTGAAAAGTTACAAAAAGAAGCTTAGCACCCCTGAACGGATGTTTGCTTGTGTCAGCACCCATATCAATCTGTCCATCCCCGCAGGACCTGAACCTTACTCCGTATTGCCCATGCCACCCTTCAGATGTTAATGGGCCAGCCCTCTATCTGAGGTACAGCCTGAGAACCACGGAAAGTGTTCTTCAAACAGAAGAAAAAAACTGAGGGAAAAGGGCCAACCACATTTGGAACTGGCCACATTACCCAGAGGCTTTACAAACACAAGTTGCTCTGTTCCAGGGATATGCATTATTTTGGGCTGCCCCCTTGTGGGCACTTGTAAGAGTCACAACTACAAATCATTTCCTTTCCAGAAAATCTTCATTATCATGCTCATAGTCACCACGTGCTTCATCATAACAGGAGGTCACCCAGTTACTATGGATCTAATGCACTTCTTGGATTTACTTGACTCAATCACCTTATGATGCAGGGACTATTTTGATCCTCATAGGTGCAGAAAGGGAGGTACATAGAGGTTAATTAACTTGTCTGACGTCACACCATCAGAAAGTGGAGAAGCCAGATCCTACCCCAAGAACGTAACTCCAGGACCCACACTCTTAATTACTGCTCTCCTGCAAAGGAAGAAATGTAACAGCTTGATCTTAGTGCCTATGAACGAAAAGTTGTGACCCAGTATCACACACAAGGAACAAATCCCATCCTTGTCCCAGGAATAAGCCTGCAAAGATGGGGAGAGGTCTAAGTCTAACTCATTAGAGAGGGATCAAGTAAGCACTACTATGAGCCACGCACTTGCTGGCTGGCCACAGATATGGCCACTGCCCAGACAGAGTAAATATTTGCTTCCTCTTCAAACTGATGGTTTGGAAATGTTTTAGAGAGGCTGATGCTGGGTGGGAAAGGGTGTTAGCCAAAGAATGTTGGGAACAACCATGAAAAGCAGTTCTGCTTTGGCCTCACTAAGGAGGGTGAAGCAACTCAAAGAGTCTAACATGGGTAACTTGGAGTCTCTGTACTGTCACACACAGCCACAAGCCACGTGCGGCTACTTCAATTTAAGAAAATCAAAATTAAATGCAATTAGGGGTGCCTGGCTGGCTCAGTCGGAAGAGCATGCGACTCTTGATTGCATGGGTTGTGAGTCTGAGTCTCACACTGGGTGTAGAGATTACTAAAATAAATAAATAAACTTAAAAAAATTAAATGCAATTAAAAGTTCAGTTCCTCAGCACACTGGCCACATTTCAGACAGTCACCAGCCACATGAGGCTGGTGGCTACCATACTGGACAGCACTGAAAGAGAAAGAGAAGTCTGGCAGCTCCCTCTTGTGACTCTCTTCCTTAACACTCAGCTGCTCTGGGATGCATGTGGATAAGGAAGATCTCAGAGTTCAATCAGGGTTGAGTTTTGCTAGGTGAGTAAGGCTGAGGTAGGGCCTCATTCCTCCACACAGTGTCAGCCTCTCCTGATTACAAGAATTGTTAAGCAATTGTTTCTAGAACATCTGTTTGAAGAGAAGCCAAGTAATTAACTCATATCTCCAACTTCCATCTTGTGACTGTCCATGATCCTCTAGGAGCCCCTGCTGAGAAGCACAGGGCTTATCCCAGGGGAGAGCACAAACCAGACCACCCCTATTTGTTAGGGGCCATGGACTTAACCAGTTATTAGCACTAGTACAACACAGCCAGAGGAATGGAGGTAGACCATTATTAACACAGCCAGGGTAAATAATACATGAACATTAACAATACTAAGAGACTTCCTCTAAAGACCCAGTATACTTAAGGGTTAATGCTCAATTTGGTTCCTAAAGGTAGCCTTCTTTCTGTATGGCCTGAAATCCTACAGTATTTAGCTTTCCTACCCAATCAATCATCCTTTGTCCATTATACCTCATACTTTATGCGTATCCTTGTCTTTTATTAAACCAGAGACCCAATGTTATCTTTGAACCCCATGAGAAGAGATGGAGAATAGATCCGTGCTTGTCAGGGGGAAAGGAAGTGGGTGGCTATAAAAGGGCAGCATGGATCCTTGTGGTAATGGAAATGTCCTCTATCTTGACTGTACCAGTGTCACTACTCTGGTTGGGACAGTGTACTGTAGTGCTGCAAGCTGGTACTGTTGGGGGAAACCAGGTAAAGGGTACATGGGATCTCTCTGTAGTATCACTTATAACTGCATGTGAATCTACAATGACCTCAAAATAGGAAGTTTAATTTTAAAAAAATATGGTTCAGGGGTGAAGCCCTGGAGGAGAACAAATACATAGAGGGAGCAGAGGACACCTTCCTGGAGGTGTCCCACCCAGGAGAAGGACAAGCCGTACACATGTCAGAGCCAAGCCTGCCCCATTCCTGATGCAGTAATGCTTCCCAGGACAATAGCATTCAGGTAACGTGCACCACCGAAACGGAGGCCTTTTCCTGGGCAACTCATCCCATGGAAATGAGAATGAAACAGGGATACTGAGTGGCTAAACAACTATTTTATGTTAACAAAGCAGCATAAAATTTCATACTTCACTGATGTGCTCTTGCTTGGAGCAACTTTCCGTTACCGTTGGGCTGTAGCAACACATTTTTAAAAACTAATTTTAAAATGAATTTTATTAGCCTGAGCACTCTCCCACTAGAATATTAATGAGCTGGTATCAGTCAATTATTCATGGTACTGGTAATAACCATTATGAAAATACAAAGTTTTTAGGGGAAGCCAGCTGTGTTCAACTTTTAAAAATTAATTGTATTAAATAAATTTTATTTTTTTTTAAAGATTTTATTTATTTATTTATTTATTTGAGAGAGAGAGAGAGAGAGAGAGAAACAGCATGAGAGGGGATAGGGTCAGAGGGAGAAGCAGGCTCCCCGCCGAGCCGGGATCCTGATGCGGGACTCGATCCCAGGACTCCAGGATCATGACCTGAGCCGAAGGCAGTTGCTTAACCAACTGAGCCACCCAGGCGCACCATGTATTAAATAAATTTTAAAGTAACTTTCCCAATCACACTCATATCACTGCAACTGAGTCAGTGTCCAGAAAAAAGAAAGGGAAAAGAAATGAAGAGCTTATCAAATAAGTTCAGTGCCAGCCAGCGCCCCTCTGTGGACTGGCAGGCATGGACACATTTCACCTCCATGGTGACTCATTTGTGCTGTCATCTGTCTAAGTGCATCAAGACCAGTGGTTCTCAACCATGGCTACACAATGGAATCACCTTGGGAGCTTTTAAAATGACAGATGCATGCATCTCCCTCCCAGAGGCTGACCTA